CTCCCTTATAGCATTGTTAGAATTAAATGAGACAGCACCCAGTAATGGCCCTGCTTCCTTCTGCACCAGCACTTCCCACCCTTTCCCCCACCCCTAGTTTGAGCTTTGTTGGCCTTTCTTCATTCCCTTGTTTCCTTGAGCCTTTCAGGGATAGGGCACCATCCGGCCAATCTGGTCTCCGATTCTTTCCTTGGGAACACTGAGCTTCAGGATGGCTCTTGAGTTTGTGCCAGCCATTTTGGAAGAGGCCTTGCACCGGGAGGGCAGCATTGTCCAATAAGAGGAAACTGTGCGGGATCAGCTCCTGCCTGGAGCCTGATGCTTGTACATTTTGGTTACTAAGGGGACCCTGGCCTACTAAGTCAGAAAAAAGGGCCAGGTTTTTTCCTATTCTTCAGCCTGCTGCCAGTGTTTGAAAAGTAAACACTCCACACAGCTTAACCGGCAAGTCCTCCAGCCAGGAGTGGGAAGAAATCAAAAGCCTATTCCAGCCCAGCCACAGAAAGCCCACAACGTCTGGTCTGTGCTGCAGAGGCCCCACTGGGAACAGAAACAATGCCGATTCTGGTCCAGAATCAGCATGCTACTCCCTGGACATTTCAGCCTCTGAGGCTTCTCCCCAGTGGCTGTTGCCTCCCTGCCCCCTTCTGTAAGGAGCAATTTGGAAGGTCATATGAGGCCGGACAGATGATCTGAGGTGCAGTGGCCCTCAGCTCAGTCCTCCACCCCTGGAGTCCTTGGCTGAGTTGTGGAGCCACTCATTGCTCCTTCTCCAATGTGACTGTGCACCAGCCTTTGAAATGAGAGCCCAGCAGTTACCAAGTGGGAGCCAGAAGGATTTTTGTTCTTATGCCATTGCTACTACAGCTTTTCCAACTGACTGTGGCTATGTATGTATTATAAAAGTAATAGTAGTAATAATAATAATAAATAGTGTGTACCAGACACTATACATATATTACCTCTAATCCTCACAGTAGCCCAGGAGGAGGTAGGGCGAAGGCAGACACAATTATCATTTCCATTTTACAGAAGAAGAGGCCAACCAGTAGCCACATAACCTTGGGCAATCTACTTCATCCCTCTGAGCCTGTTTCTCATCTCTGAAAGGGGGATGGTGATACCTCACCTTAGCTACATTGATGAAATGAAAGAATCTGTGTGAAAGTGATGTGTGTACTCTAAAGTATAAGTGCAAAGATTGTTGTTGATGCTATTTTTTTTATTTTTTTATTTTATTGTACTTCAGGTGAAGGCTTACAGAACAAATAGTTTCTCATGAAACAGTAGTACACGTGTAGTTTTATGACA